TTATTATGTGTGTGTGTGTGTGTGTGTGTGTGTGTGTGTGTGTGTGTGTGTGTGTGTGTGTGTGTGTGTGTGTGTGTGTGTGTGTGTGTGTGTGTGTGATGTATATGAATTTGTTTTTTTATAAATTATATTATTATGTTAATAAAATATGCCATTTTATTTAAAAAAATGTTAATGATTTTGAAATCTCATGAAATAATAAGCATTGCAAAAATAAGCATTACATAATATTTGTTCCTTTGAAACAAACAACTTTTCTCTTTGATATTTTTATGTATCGTCAAAAAAAACAGAGATAAATGATCGAGTTACCATCCTGTATAAAAGAAATACATAATTTATATACACAATATACTTCGAATATTCTTAGAATTAATAGAATTTCGTGCTGTCAGTGAATATTATTACCATAATATTTTTTCTCGTTATCAAAGAGGTAATTGCTTTGAATTATCTAAATGCTCCTAATGTGACAAAATTGTATTCTTATCAGACGATGCACGTAAAACGCGTATTTTATATTCTAAACAGAAATCGTAAGAACGTGTAAAAAAGCGCATAAAAGAACACTATAAAACGCAAAACTCAAAAATAGAATATTTAAATAGGCAGAATAATTTTCTGTACGTTATCTTAAGTATTATGCGAGGTCACCCTGTATCTTATTAACATCAATATATTTACCGGTGTCTCAACATTACGTGCAAAAAATCTAAACATTGCTCGCCACTTTACTTTGATGTGAATCATCCGAACCAGGCATTCTATCCTCGTGAAACGCGAACGTCAAACGCGAACGTCGGATGGGGTGATTGTCGCAAGATGCGTATGAGGAAAGGTATTTGTTCTTTAATGAAGAAAGAGAAGAGCATTCCGATGTAACGTGATCAACGAACGACTTGCTTGCAGTGCCGGGAGGAATGCTCCTTTCCGTCCTTGCATCTTGTTACGTGACGTTGTTTCACGTGGAGTTCACGTCGTTTTCGTTTACGTTACGTTGTCACCAAAGATACATACTCCGGCCTGGAACTTTCTCTCTTGTCTGGTCAAGATGCGAGATTGTTACAGATGAGATTGGACTCGTATGAAAGATTGATTCTAACACACCGCAACCGAATAGTTTAAATTTCAATACGGGTGAGTATAATAAAAATTAATTTTGCGATGGATATTACCGAAGCGATAATGAATGGAATTGTGTTGAAAATAGTAATTAGTAATATTTGTTGTAAAATTGCAGCATAAAGCGACGCGATTATAAATTACTGGAATTATTGAAAGATATTCACATTGTTGTGTATTTGTGTGAAAATCTATGATATTATTGTATATACGTAACTTAATCCAGCTTTGGAATATTTTAATTTTCTTCTAGTTTCATCCTGTTCTTTATTTTTTTTTTGTCATTGCCTTTAACAATGTGAATAAAGCTTGGGAATAGACAAATCTTCAATTCTTAACACATTTTTTGGAAATATGTAAATAAGTAAGAGATATCTGATCTCAATGTGAGCACAATAAGTATGAGCGAGTGAAATAATTACGCAAAATAATTACGGAAACATCCTACGTACAATGTATGACGACTTGACGCAAATGCTAAAGAGATATATTATTAGAATCGCGTATTATATATTATGGTATAATGATGATAAGAACATTAATGTTTTTTTCATGAGAAGAAAAACTCAAATATCATGCTGCCACGTAGATGTCGATCCGTTTCGCTTACTTCTGCGAGCATCTGCACGCGTCTTTTATACACATCTGCCTTCCACGGCCCTTAGATTTTGCGGCCATGGCCCATCGCGTTAGTTGGTTGGGTAATGCCATCTCATACAATGTAGATAATTTGCCTCATATTCTCACGATGTTCCTGTCTTACGTTCATCAATTTGTCGTTATTCCTTACGCGTTTATTATGCGACCTTCGCGATTAGTGGGCCCGTTCCAAATTATGTAATATGCAACAACATCTTGTTCTCTCTCTCTTCCTTTAAAGCGTTTTAACCCGCGTATCTGACAAATTTAATCTATTCTCTGCTTCTCCATTCTCTGCTTCTCTCAGCTCTGTTTTATATATAATCTTCGAAGTATAGAGGAATAGTCAAGGTAATCCTAATACGTAATACGAAAATCGCAGATTTTGCCTTAAGTTCTGGAGAAGCGATGAGCAAATCGTATGCTGTTTCTTGAGAAATCACAAAACCAAGGAAGAACGATTGTTAATTATGATAGACAAAATTTAATAATAATCGACCGAAGAATTTTCAAATAAAATCTGTAGAAATTGCTTGTTTACATGCCGAAAGAAAAGAAAATAATTGTGATAATTATAATTTTATATTTCTGAAATTTAATTTTCTACAACTAATCTTACAAAGTAATAAGAATCAAAGTAGTATTGAATACTATAAAAATATAATAATAGCAACAAAATATGTGAATTATTAATTGATAGTGAAATAATGACTCAACTATAATTATACAGGCTTTATACAAATAGATATGATAACTATCACTTATTTATTATTTTCTAATTTAGACAATTTATTTTTTGGAAACAAACTTAATACACAATATTATTAGGTAACTTTAAAAAATACATTCCAACGTTGCATTTATAATACACTAGTTTATTCAACTTACTATAAATAGTTAATATTACTATATTTTTTATAATAATATGCTAATATTGCTTATTTATTGTTCTTATTACAACTTTTATAATACATAATTGAGCCGTTATTTATCTTCAAATTTCTAGTTACTGGCACGATTTTTTTCCTCTAAGTGCGTCATGAATTATAATAGATGGATTATAATCGGAAGTTCTTTTAATCGATTCACGTGAATTAGCGACTACCGGTTCTTCGTCTGGTGTTGACCTGACAGAACGGGGAATTCCCTTCGAAACCTGTCTCGTGAGATTCTTGCTAAAGAAATGCGAGTTGATGTTCATACCGATTTTAACTATCTTATTTATGAAACCGTGTCGAATAAAAATATCATCTGGTATGGACTGGTAACACAGAATAGTTTTCTTTCCATTTCCATCTTTATCTTCAAAATATCATTTACATACATCCAAAATTTATTTGTATTTTAATATCACTTTATCTTTTTACAAATTTAATTTTAAATTTAATTAAAAGGATTTAATCCGCCATGTTAAAGAGCGATACAATCGATGAATGAAAAAATCGAAACGGAACTTTCGTCTTGAAAACGTCTCTTAATCGTATCTTATCTCAAGAAAATGACGTATAATGTGTGTATCAGTATTTATCAGTAAAATCTATCTTTCTAGTGTCGGAAGTATTTCACAATTAAAATATGAATGTCACCATGAATATTACATTTTTTCAAACATTGTAATATTATGCAAAATGATGTATGGTGTAATAATGTCAGAGAACTACAATTTCTAAATAAAATATTTTAAATTTCTTAAAAAATTGTTACTTAATAACAAATAAATTGTTACTTAAAATAATATCAAAAAGCGATTAAATATCTGCTTCTTCTATTCATAATAGATAAATTAAAATAAAGTCAAGTAAAAATTTAAATAAAGAATAAAATTTATTTTGATAGAATTAAATCCTTAATAAATGTATAGTTAAAAATCTTTTAAGATTTCCGTTTATTGATATTTTTGACAGTGATGATGTTTTCGTTCGCAAGTAATTATAGATTTCAAAGATTAAAAACTCTATAATGAATTGCATCATTTATTTTTTGTTTACTTGTTTCTTACAAAATTAATTATAGTCTAATTAGCAAGAACTTCAAATTTGTAAAAAGATTCTTTATCAATCATACACATCGTTAAAAAAATATATGAATATTTACACTTCTCATTTATGATTACACACGCTCCGATGCTCGATTGGATTTGTAAGACCAATTATGCAAAATATTATGTAATTGTCTCATTAATTAATTGAAACACACATATATTGGAGCAATATCTGTGTACGATCGCAAAACATGCGTTTTGCTCCTAAAATCTGCGAAAATAATGTATGAAGCATGTTATTAATAATGTACCTCCTGTTTCTTTTATTCTATGTATGATAAATCATGTGATTTATGTATGTGTTGTATATGTACAATAATGTGCTTATGTACGATGATGCGTAGATTGATCCTAAGAATTCATTCTCGGTTAATTAATTACATTGACAAGAATGGAATTCATTTAGATAATATCAATAAAATACGGCATTTCGACGTGCGCAATAAGACTTAAGAATACATTCGATACGTTTTACGTGTCTCTTACGTATGTTTGGAGGACACATGCGTCTACACCAAAAAAGATAATTCTGTACCAATGAATTATGAAACAATTAACAAAATTCAATCTGAATTAAAAATATTTTATTATAATAAAGTTAGCCAAAATTTTTGGTTGTACGAATTTCTTAAGAAAATATTAATTTTTTTGGCTTTTCTTAATGATTAATATTACAATATTATAAACCCTAAAATCGAGATGGCAAGGTAACGTGACACCAAGACCTTTTGAAACCTACTTATCGCATTCGGCGGGGCCCGGGTATTAAATCCGATCCCGTCAAAGATAACGGCAATTTTTTTTTCAACTTGAATACGGATCGCAACACGCATTTTGTATTCACAAACGAGCGCGTTATCGACTTTTCACGACGCGTAACTCGACGTCATTTCTTCTTCTTTTTCTTCTTCTCTTTTTCCTTTTCTTCTTCTCTCCGTTTTCTTCTTTTTCTTCTTTTCTTTTTCGTCATCATCATTGTTATCTTCTTTTCATCACAACGCCACATTTTCACACAAAACGCATCAAGGTGTCGGTGATGAGCGAATCGTGAATAATGTCACGTCAATCGGCAAGATAAGTTGGTCCACGAATATCAGCCATATTTACGAAATAGAATTATCAAATCCGCGAATCCGAAACCGGCAGCTGCGATGTCACGTAGTTGGTGATCTTCTTTCAATTACGAGAGAATCGAAATTCATATACCAAAAGTGAGTACGATTAACAAAAAAAGGCTATTGTAAATTTCGCAGCATTTTCATCATTAAAAAGTTTGACCTGATAAAATTTTGTTTGATAAAGCGTCCACATAAAAATTCATTCAATATCAAACTATGAAAATTTTTAAACAAAATATTAAATTGATGTGTCAAGTAAAATTAATGTGAATATAAAATATAACATTACGTAACTTCTTTTGTATTATGCAAATTGCTCTATATTTACGTAATTATCGAATTGTATAACTACTTTTAAGATGATTCGAAATCGTATTTTTGTACTTTATTAAGATCTGATTTCTTATCTCATTTCTTCGATAAATTGTTTCTGTTTTCTTTTTGATTTTTAATTATGTAAATTGATATATAAATTATTTGTTGATAAAAGATTATTCAAATCTTAATTTCAGATTTAAATTAAGATTTGAATAATCTTTTTAATTAAGATTTTAATTAAGATTTTAATACAATTCTCTCTTTAGATAACTTATATTAATATATAAGAATATTTTTTTAGAAGTTTTATTAACATAAAATTAAATAAATAAAATTAATTAAATAAAATTTGTTAATTGAATTTAGCTAAATCATATTGTTATATAAAAGTTATACAGAAAATTATATATGTTCATGTTTAATTATTTAATTAAAATATGATTGAAACATAGAAAATAGATTTAAATTAATAGAGATAAATGTGACATAAAAAATTATATGAACTTTGGATTTCTTTTTATAGTATTTTGTCAACTTTGAGTAAGCCTAAACTATCTGCAATAGATTGGCAGCAAACTTGCTCAGAGATTGCATATATATATATATATTTATTAAGTTTATATCTGATAATACCAAATTTATCAATCATATATATATATATACATATATATATTAAGTTTATATCTGTGTTCACATTAATCTTGTGCTTTGTTAATAAAATGTGCTGACAATCTGATAGCAGCAAAAATCACGTAAACAGATTTTATTCGATTTCTCCTATCAATCTGCTATCATATCTTGTTATAAATATTTGCTTATATTTCTAACAATATATTAACAATATATTGTATGCATTCTGTTAATAATATATTGTACGCATGTACAAATTTATTGTTTTTTCTTTTTTTCGAATAAAGTATATAGCAGATACTTCGCAAAATCCATTGTTCACAGATTTGGCTGACTAAAAGAGAATACTATTTTTAACGAAGTGATTTTTTTTCTTTCGAAAATATCGAAAAAGTTCATCATTTTTTGTGTCCTTGCAGTTTTGTATATCTTCAGAATTAAGCTTTGTAATTAAAATTTCATTTAAATAAATTTTAGAAATTAACAGAAAAATCTGTTCTTATCATTTGTTTTCTCAGCTGAAATTTCGTTCATCGAAAGTCTCTTTTATTTCCAGTCATCAATTATTCATTATAAAAACATTAATTTTCTATAAAGAAGTAAATGTAAAGAAGTAAATGTAGAGATACTCGGTTCATCTTCTGCCCGTTCTGCCTTGTCCCATCTGTCGTGCACGCCAATTAACAAACCTTGGAACGAGTGGAAAGTCCACTGACGAATTCACTCTTCGGGAAAATTACGATCTCCTATTGGTCCCGACTCAGGCAACGGACGCAAATAAAGGGGATTTGAAAACTGTAAGAGAGATGAGTAATCTGTAACTATCTTATATTTCACTTCATCATTATCCTGCATATGTGTCTATATCCATTTATACCTGGTCGTAGATACGATAAAAGGCCCCTCTGAGTGGTGGCTACTCTCGCGAGGTATGCGTGACCTCCGAGGAAGAGGAGAGGACCTCCGGGTATCATATAGAGGGGCGCATAGTCGTGACGCTGATCCAGTCTTCCGTACAGCGTCGTTCACTTGAAACGTCTCGGTGTGTCGTGTGCTTCGTGCCTTTTTTTTCCTTTTTTTTTTGTTGTGGAAAAGGACGAAGGAAGAGATTTTCGTTCGACGGAAATGCACGTGTGACAATGCGTCCGAATCTCGGTCGTGACCAAGAGAGTTGAACTCCCGGCGACGCGTGTCGCATATTGCAATAGTGTGAATTATTTATTCTTGCACGTGCTTGTCGTCTGTCATTGATCCCGGATCTCTCGAATTGTCAATTAAATCGAAATGCTGTAAGTTATGCTTCAATTTATTTGTATTTTCTTGCTAAAAAGGAAAAATAAGTCGCAATAAAAATTATGTTGCTTAATGAAATTTCATTGATTTGAAGTGTTATATTTGAAAGACGCCGAAACAAATCTATAGATTCTTGCTGCAAGCTTCTTTTTTTAAATGTCAGCAGCATTAAATATTTTGTAGATATCAAGATTCGACGATGAATAAATTATTACATTATTTTGATCCTGCTTGATTAATATTCGGTTATTATTTTAAAAATAACATATGATTCAAATAGGATTATGATTTAAATAGCCTTGAAATTCCTAATTGTTTTAATGACTTCTATTATGGAAATTCGAAGAACACTGAGATAATATCATATAAGGGAAGGCTAAATATAACCAACTATCCTATTAACATGTAAAAAGAATCTTTTCACACGTTTCGTATATTTCACTAATATCACGTGCGTTGCAATATCTTCGAGAACTTTGTTGTACACATCTCGATTAATTTTGCACAATCAAGATACGCAATCGTTCAATATCGCAGTCACTCGCATTTCAGAGAGTGTTTACATCAAATAACAAAACGAACAATTGAGATATATTTCAAAGATGAGAGAGAAAAATCTTAAACTTATAAATGTTTATTCCACGAATTAATAATATTTCTTTGTTGAACTTCTATTGGCGAATAGAACGATTCTTCTCTTATTATCAAGTTTTTATTAAGATATTGAACAGCGCCACAGTAAATTCGTTTGGAACGGTAAAGTTAATTAATTTTGCAATAACAAAATGATGATCATTAGCATAATTGCGGTTAATAGTTACGTCTCGTGTTGTAACGATGCAGGTTTGATGCGTTGCGTCAAGTTGTGCTAAATTTATAAAGCTACTACATATATATGTCGTGTTGCAAGATGCGTTAGGAATTTCGACATTTACAACATATCGACGATTGAAGCATTAAGTATTTTACACGCGTCTGTAGTATTTAAGTGAAATGACTTCTGTATAAATTTGCCATGGAAACATGATATAAACTAAACTGCATTTAGAGATATCAAAAATATTAAATTTATATTAAAAATAAAACTGTTTTTATGATCACGACGAAATTTCTAGCTTTAAATAATTGTTTAGGTTAATGAGAAATAAATTTTTTGCAAATTAGATCCAAAGAGATATTATATCTTTTGAATATAAAATCACAAATATAACAATTTTATATTATTTTATATATTATTTTAATAGAATTTTCCATTTTATTTATAATGATACGTGTGTCGGGAATTGAAAAAAGTTATAATAAACGATGGTCTCTGCTATTTTGTTGAAGAAAAATTCCTTGTACGTTGGCTAATCGGTCATTAAAACCAGAAGTGGGACATGTGTATTATCTATATACGTGTATTATCTTACCGTTATTACATCGTTACTTTGGTATAAAGAAACGTAGATTTTAAATGAAGCTGTATCGTTCAAGCGGAATTCTCGAGAAAAAAATAAGCCTTAATTTTCATTCTAATTTACTGCTTCTGAAAAAAACGATTACGCAGGAAATTCTATAATTATATCTTATTATACAAGTAAAAAGAAATCGATATCATTTGCAAAACAGAAAGTAGCGCAAGCAAGATAATTTTTTAATTAGAAGATTGAAAAACCAAGCGATGAATAATGTTTGCTTGACTAATATAAACGGGGAAGCCCAATGTAGACGAAAGATTATTAGATGTATCATAACACATAGCAGACATTTAGAGACTAATTTAATGCTTAATTGTTTTGCGACAAAATTGTACAAAATTATTCTAGAGTATAATGCAAATAAAAATTTTTTTTTTTCTTCAATTAATTTTCGAAAAGCTAAAAATTATTTTTCCGGTGATTCGTATCGACTCATATTTACTTTTGTGTAATGATTACGCAGTACCTTAGGCAAATGTCAGACTCACAAGCCGCCAAAGCGTCGAACGCTTTACATTCACGCATTACATAAGGCATATCTTTTGAATCTGTTCGGCATGCTAATTATTTTCGTTGTTATCTCCGTAATCTAGAGGATTTTATTTTACAATATGACCTTGATTTTTTTAACTGAACTTCTTGCACTGTTCATACTTTTTTCTCTGAACATGGAGAGAGAAAAAGGTTGAAACGATGAACCACGCAAGAAGTGCAATTAAAAAGAACCTATGCCTATATGCAAATTTACATGTAACGCTTTGTTGTATTAAGTTGTCTTTGTTACAGACCGACAATGACAAGCTGGAATTTGCTACTATTCTTACTTCAGTTGGTTGCTTATGAAAGTCAATCGGGTAAGTAATACTTTTCATCAATTTGTATTTATTTTATTTTTCTCTTGTAACAATGAAATAGAGCCTCTCTTTGAGATATTGTGGAATTTTTTGGCTATAAAAATTTTTCTCTTTGACCATGTGCTTTTATACAAATAAACATAATTAATTTATAAAAAATAAAATAAAATAATTTTTAAAAGGTTTAAAATTTTATAAATAAATAATAATTAAAATATCTAGAAATTAAAAATTTAAATCTCTTTTTAATTTATAATACGATATTTTAAAAAGAAAAATTAATTGAATAATATTAAATATTAATTTCTTGCTCTATTACGCTTCTGGAAATATGTTTAGAATTAGAATTTAAAAAAATCTTTTTCGATCGGCGTTTTTTTGAATTTCAGAGACGATAATAACAGCGCACAATGATTTTGGTCTGACACCAATCGATCCGGAAATTGCCGATGTCGTCGACTGGAAACATCACGCGTGTCGGCGAACATGCAAGGATGGCATAGTACCTCTAGACTGCTATTATACTTTTAAGTTGGAATCTTACTACACGATGAGCAAAGCATGCTATGATTGCCCTTTCAATATTACGGATTGCTTCAGACCTCACTGCATCCCAGCGGATGGCATGAAGCGATCTCTCATGGTCGTTAATCGCCAAATGCCAGGTCCGTCAATTGAAGTACGTTAAAAAAACAAATATCTTAATTATCATATTCTTTTCATACTTCTATTTTATTTACTTTAATATCATCTTTATTCGACAGAAAGAATATGAATCATCGAGAATCTTTGTTTGTCTTTTTTTTACAAATTTGAATAATTAACAGAAAACGAAATATTAATGAATTTAAATTTGTATTGCTAAATTAAAAAGATACTACTTTTCATTTATCTATGATTAATATTCACTTAATTTTTTCGTCGATTTTCATGCCTTTACTTTTTAAATTTCATGAATATAGAAGAAATTATTTGGAAATAATTTATATATAAGTCTTTACCGCATGGCGATCGATCGATCGCTAATTAGAATTTTTTTTAATCAGCTAGATTATTTTTATTCAGTCAATAAAGTAGAAAAATGATTTATCGTTTTGTACAGTCCTTCGCGGAGTTTATATTCTGCATTTATTTCCGCTTGTTATAATTATACAATGATATCACGAGAGCAGCGTAGTAGAATTTACATCGTCAATACAATATTAGAATTAGAATCTGATTTTCTATAACTTAATACATCTTTGAGGCAAGATCATATGATGATTGTTTAACACACACTCGATCTTGAGAAGTTATATCTGTATGGCAATTTTGTTTGTCCTCGTAAACATGCTCGTTTTCTACCGTCGTATTCATTAGATACGAAAATAGATATGAAAATAGAGATTTGCGGTGTCTGGAAATATATCGTCATTTAGTCACGCGAGTCACCGTATCGTTTTAATCACTATGAGACTTATATGATGATAATGACGTCTAGTCTGCGATTTATTTTAGTGCGATCTACGATCGATAAACGGCCTCCATGAGGCCGCAAATCAAGCGTAATGAGAATATCTTGAAAAAATTATTTTAATTACAGGTTTGCCAAGGCGACAAAATAATAGTTGATATGATCAACTTATTACACACAGAGAGCACTACAATGCACTGGCATGGACAACATCATTTTGCCACACCATATATGGATGGTGTACCCCATGTATCGCAATGTCCTATCCTTCCTGGGGCAACCTTTCGATATAAATATATTGCCACTGAAGCCGGCACACATTTCTGGCATTCTCATATAGGTGCGTTAAATCTTCCTCAAGTGTTTCTTGCAGAAAATTTGAAAAAAGGACTGCTTAAATTAATATATAAATCTATTTAGTTTATAATAATTTACTTATATAGCAATTAAATTATAATTATTATATAATTTATAATTATAATATTTATAATTATATAATTATTATATTATTATAATTATAATATTACAGCAAAGAAAATTGCTTTCAAAATTTCCGCTTTCAAGAGTTCCGTTGTTTTTAATATTTTGTATCACACTTTTCTGTCTGCAGGATTTCAAAGAGGTGACGGCGTGTTTGGTCCATTAATCGTTCGTGTACCCCCTAAAGTCGACTGGCACAAAGATCTGTATGACTACGATGATCATACGTTAGTAATAGCCGATTGGGCTCATGAATTGGGTCTCACTAAGTTCCTGGCACATTATCATTCGGACGGTCATAACAAAGCGCCGAACTTACTCATAAACGGCCTGGGCCGTTTCATTGCTATTAAAGATGAAAATGAAACACTGGCCGATATGCCTATTACGACATTCACTGTGAAACCGGTAAATTTCAGTCAGAGGAGAAAGTATTTAGATAACACAGAAGGCTGACAGATCTGACCTCGCTATCCTACTTTGAATTGACTTTCGATTTTGAAATTAACAAATATTAATTACATTCTATCTTATGTCTACGTTTTCAAAAATCTTATAATTTTAACTTTTGAAATGTTTACATTAATATAAGAATCAAATAAAATATTTTTATCAAAGTTAAAAAGAAATTAAGAAAAAAAAATATAATATTTCATATAAAGTTATTCAGTTAAAATTATTTGAAATATTTTCACAATATTATTAAAAATATTGACGGCGTTTTATAAATGTAACTTTATACAGTGTCTACTTTTCTAAGTAGAACCATTTCTGAAATTAAAAAGTTAGTTTTTTTCTTTTTTAATGAAGCTATGATTTATATATACATATTTTTTTAAGTTTTGATTTGCGTGTTTGTATGTTTTATATGAATTCATTTTTTATTTTTTATATGATTTGCATATTTCTGTTTACAGGATTCTCGATACAGATTCAGACTTATTAATGCAGAATTCCTGAACTGTCCTATAGAAGTTTCCGTTGACAATCATACCTTGTACGTGATCAGTTCAGATGGGCGTGATATTAAACCAGTACAAGGTACAATTTTATGTAACATTATTTTTTCAAATATTGATTAAAAGTATCATTTTA